TTCCTTCGTCTTCAGCCGGGCGGGTGTCCGAGTTTCCTCGCGTCCCCGGCAACTCCGCGCACCGCCTTCAGGGCCTTCTGGGACCACAAGAGGCAGAGGCACTGGGTCCGGCGTGTTGCCTCCAGCCTCCCCGTGGCGCTGCCGGTAGCCAAGAGATAGCTTCGGCGCTGGTTTCGACAGGAGCCCGCGGTGGCTGGGAGAGGAGCCTCGGAGCGATGCAGAGGAGCGCTGACTCCCGACGATGTACAGTGCCTATCAAGCCGTGCCCTTCTGTTCGGTCTACCGGAGAGCTACACGCGCTAGAATTTCGGCACGGTTACTTCTGAGTAGATGCAGGAGTTAGGAGCTGGCGCGTCAGGATGCGAAATGGATGCGGTTTATTTCTCTCGTTATTCCGCCCGTTACATTCTTTGCCCCAGCACTTTGTTTTTATTCGTTCTTTCTCACGTTCCTTTTCATTTGCTTCGTTCCCGGCTGGCGCTCTGTGGCTCGGGCCGGCCTCCTACACCGCGAAGCCCAGCCTTTCAGCAGGTGTGCAGGAATTTGCATGGCAAGCGACACCTGCCGAAATTCCTGCTTCAATCCACACAGCTATTAAAAATGTAGAACATCAGCTGTTTGTTTTGTTTTGCTTTGCTACTCTACCGAGATTTCTTTTTCATTTTCTTTTTTCTTATTTGTACACGATTTTATCTCTTTTTAAATTTGTTGCGTGCGATCAAATTGTCTCCAATTTATGGTAACCCCAAGAACAAACACTTTCCAAAAAGTCCTATCCTCCGCAAACATGTTCAGCTCTTGTAAACTCAAGCATGTGTTTTTTTAGGGAGTCAGTCCATCTCATATTTGGTCTTTCCCCTTTTCCAGCATTATTATCTTTTCCAGAGAACCCTGCCTTCCCTTGCTGAGCCCAAAGTAGGATAGCCTCAGTTCCAACATTTAGTCTGTTTTAATATTTACTTTTCTGTGCTGTCCTTTTTTCTTCTTCTTCTTTTTTAATTTGCATTTGTTTTCTTATCAGGCAAATCTAAAAGAAAAAAAAGACAAGAACATTGTGGCACCTTAAAGATGAACTGCTATATTCTAGATTAAATTTATATTTAAATTTCATCTTTAAAGTGCCACAATATTTGTCTTCTTTATTTTGGTTTTGTGTGCACAGACTAACACAGTTGCCTCTACAACTATGGAAGGCATTTGTTTTTCTCATTTTTTCTATGCAGCTATAACTGTTTTTGGATTCTTTGGCAGAAGTAAGCTGTACTGAGTTTGGGTAATTTCTGTAATATGTCTTTCTCTGACCATTCCTTCAAAAGAAGCAGGCATGGTGACGCAGTCGCCCTATTTTTTTCTCTCCACACAACATTCTTGTAATATAAGTTAGGATGAGAGAATGACTCATTCAACAGGTTAGGGTGAGAGAATTACTCATTCACCAGGTATAGTCATTGGCAGAGTGTAGCACTGAAAGCTAGTCTCCACAATTGTATTCCAGTACTCTTAACTACAGTGGCAGGATAGGTTAGCCACATGGAAAAAATGCACCTACTGAAATTCCATCTTTTATGCAATTTTTAGAGATATTTGAACCTTTTTTGATGTGCTCCACAGCTGGATTTAGGCATTGGGGCCCCAGGGCACTTCAGGTTCAGGATCCCCCTCATATACAGAAATTAAAATACACAGAAATTCACTGAAGTTGCACATCAAATCCATTTATTGCATGTCCTCGGAACTTACACATACATAGAGAGGTTAAATGAATTATATATCTGAGGTAAATACATGTATACATTTAAATAAGTAAAGGTAAAGGTTCCCCTTGACAAATTGTCCAGTCGTGTCCGTCTCTAGGCAGCGGTACTCATCTCCATTTGCAACCCATAGAGCTAGCGGTTTGTCTGCAGACAATCCTCCGTGGTCACGTGGCCAGTGTGACTAGACACAGAACGCCGTTTACCTTACCCCCGAGGTGGTACCTATTTATCTACTTGCATTTTTGCCTTTTGCATGCTTTCGAACTGCTAGGTTGGCGGGAGCTGGGACAAGCGATGGGGGCTCACTCTGTTGTGTGGATTCGATCTTACAACTGCAGGTCTTCTGACCTTGCAGCGCAGAGGCTTCAGCGGTTTAACCCACAGCGCCACCACGTCCCTTATACATTTAAATACATGCCAGCAAAACTCCAAATAGATTTTAGGTAATACAGATTACAAAGAAGATAGCTTTGCTGCTATGTACTCTTTAGTTTCCACAGATAACAATGGCTAACTCAACAATTTACACAACCAAATTCAACTCTGTACCTGTCAATGGAAGTTTTATCAACCTACACCTATATGCATCACACTAGAATATTTACAAAAAAGGCTTTTTTTCTACATTTGACATCTAAAAAATCTTTAATGAACTCAAACTGTATCATCTTTAGAACATTGCCCTCTACATCCAGTAGGCACAGAGCACTTAGTCTTTCATGGGTCATTGTGGTTCTCAGATAATTCTTTATTAGTGCTAATTTACTGAATGATCTCTTTCCCGACCATCATACTCAAATATTCTAAGAGCTACATTAACACTTGGAAAGGTAAGTGGAGTAAAACCGCCTGTTGAAATGGAGCTTGGCAGAGGCTGCAAACTGGTTTTATCTACTGTATGAATGCCTTACTGAAATCATGGGGGGGGCAGTAATAAGTATTTCAGCCTCAATTCTTATCTCTGCATCAGGTAGGCAGCAGAAGTTGACTGTGACTTTGAACATGTCATATACTGATTGGTATGCTACCCTGTATTTTCGTAAGGCAAAAGACAACAGATCTAAAATGACATTGAAAGTTCCACATCTGAATTCTTCTCTTGAGGAAAGGACAACTTCATCTGAGACTTAATGTAGCATTCACATCACAACGTTGTTTCTCTTTCTTGCCCTCCCTATAGTTGCTTTGTAGTCTGTGTTGCCACAGAGGTTCCTGGTATCCAGTTCCAACTCGTCATACCTATAAGTGATTTCAGAAACTTATCCAGAGAATAAATTAAGTCCACCATTTTCTTCAGGTAAACCTCAACTGTTTGAATAGCTTCTTGTTTGCTGTTGAACCATTCAATAATTAAGTTCCAGATTTGGGCCATCAGAACAGTTTCAAGACAATCTATTTTGTCTGCCAATATCTGGGCTTCATATCTTGTTTTAGGTGTTTGCTCCAAGTCATGTTCAGTATATCTGAGGGCATTTTGAATACAGCTGTATCAATGTACAAGGGCTTCAGTAGCATCAGTTCTTGCTGACCAAGAAGTGTCTGACAAGGACTTCGGAGTTAATGCGCTAACTAACTTCCAAAGATTTCATTAGATTTGCCTTTCTGTGAGTTGATGAACAAAAAAGGAGTATAACCTTTGTATGAATCCAAAATAACTAATAGTTTCAAAATAGCAAGAGGTAGCAGCCTGTCCAACAAGATTCAATGAGCGAACAACGCAGAGAATGAAAACTGCTGCTGTGTTCTTACTCTTAAATCTGGCTTGGATTCCTGTGGCAACCAGACATATTACTTGCATTGTTGTAGGGCTGCCCTCTGCAGTTTTCAAAATTAACACCTTATTTTTCTAGAAATTATAGCAGAGACATAGCCAGAATTTCAGCCTTGTGAGAGTCAGTCTTCAGGAAAGTTAAAAAAACCTTTCTATCTGCCGTCTAGAAACAACATATAACACAATGACTGTTAGCTGGTCAACATGAGCGAGGTCTAGTATTGAATCTATGGAAACTGAGAAGTACTCGGTAGTTTTCAGTTATGCCACAATATAATTCTTAACATACAGTGGTGCCTCGAATAGCGAGCGCTTCAATTAACGAAGAAATCGAATAGCGATGTGTCTTTCAGGGCATTTTTGCACTTCTATTAGCAATGTTCCCTATGGGCGATTCTCAAATAGTGATGGTTGGTCCACGCTTCGAATAGCGATTAGATTTCGGGTCCCCTGTTTCAATTAGCGACGGTTCAAAAAGCACGGGGTCAGTGCCTCGCTTTAATGGCGTTTTAACAGTCACTGTTTCGCAATGCTAATATCTCCAGGGTGTTTCTCCCTGTTGTTGTTTTCATTCAAGTTTGAACAGTCAGTACCCAGGATGCATTGTGCCTTGTGCGGGGAAGGCTTTAAGAACCCTTCCCCATGCATTCTGGGCTTACTTTTCCACGTGCAGTTCCAGGGTTGACTTGTCAGGAGCAACTTTGATCTGGCTTATGGGTGCATCCTGTGCGTGTTGAACAGCAAAAGGTAAGTTTTCATTTGTTCTCCTGTGTGGGTGGTGGGTTTTACTGTAGAAGTCAGATGTTAATTTGTAATGTTTGCCATGGGCTTTTTCTTGCTGGTGGGGGGAAGATGCTAGACTCTAATTTGAAATGGCTTAGCTGAATTTTCATGGGTTCTTCTGTGCATGCCTTGCTCTTGGAATTGCATTTCAAATTTTAAAAATGGGTTTCACCATTCTTCCTGGCCATGGGCTTTTTCTTGCTGGTGGGGGGAAGATGCTAGACTCTAATTTGAAATGGCTTGGCTGAATTTTCATGTTTTGATGGTTTTTCCTGGGAGAATTTGGATCTGCTATTGCATTCGTTCTGTGTGGGAGAAGTGTGCAGAAATGTGATTTAAAATTTTGGGTACCCTCCAGGGGAAACCTAGGGGGTACAGTAGCTTCTGTTGTGGGGGTTGGAATGCAAATGTAGGATGCCACGTTTGATTTTATTTTTTACTGTAGGCATTCCTTTCTGTTGTGTGGCGTGGCGTGGCCTTTGGTGGGATTTTCCAGCCTCTCTGGGTACTCAAGAGGTAGGTTTGAATTTCTTCTCCTGTGGGTTTTTTTTTCTTAGCTTGTGCTGGGGGGGGCGTTATACCACTTGTTTGCCCAGGGCAGTTTTGGCCAGGTGTGGGGAGGTGTGTGGGAAGGTGAAGCAGATGTAAAGCACTGACTGTTGTTGTTTTTTAATGTAGCAACATCTGATATGTGTCGCAAAAAGCCTGCTTCTGCCGAGGTTGGCAAGCCGACCAGGGGGCAGATTACCCTGGAGATGAAGAAAGAAATCATCAGACAGTACGATGGAGGCAAGCGCATCGTGGCCATCGCCAGGGAGTACGGCAGGAATTCATCCACCATCGGCACCATTGTGGCAAAGAGGGAGAAGATCCTTGCCAAGGATGCAGCCAAGGGAGTCACCAGGATCGCTAAGAACCAGCCAGCTGTCCTGGAGGAGGTGGAGAAGCTCCTGGTCATGTGGATGCAGGAGAAGCAGAGTGCAGGGGACACCGTGACTGAGCCTGTCATCTGCGAGAAGGCCAGGGCCTTGTACACAGACCTCGTGGAGCAACAGCCCGGAACATCAGCTGAGCCTGAAGAGTTCAAGGCAAGCAGAGGCTGGTTTGAACGATTTAAAATCAGATCTGGCATCCACAGCATGGTGAGGCATGGAGAGGCTGCCAGCTCCAACGTTACTGCAGCTGAGGACTTTGCCGTGGAGTTCCTGGAGGTCGTGACGACAGAGGGCTACCTTCCAGAGCAGGTCTTCAACTGTGATGAGACTTGTCTGTTTTGGAAGAGGATGCCCAATAGAACCTTCCTGACCCAAGAGGAGAGCAAGCTGCCTGGCCACAAGCCCATGAAGGACCGTCTGACCCTCTTCTGTGCCAACGCCAGCGGGGACCTTAAGATCAAGCCCTTGCTGGTCTACCATTCTGAGAATCCATGGGCTTTCAAAAAGCACAAGGTGGACAAAGCCCAGCTGAGGGTGATGTGGCGATCCAATGCCAAGGCTTGGGTCACACGCGTCCTCTTTGTGGACTGGGTCAATCACGTTTTTGGCCCAGCTGTGAAGCGTTACCTTGTGCAGAAGGACCTGCCACTGAAGGTCCTGCTCCTGATAGACAAGGCTCCTGCCCATCCTCCAGGCCTTGAGAATGACTTGCTGCAGGAATTTGGCTTCATAAGAATCATGTTCCTGCCGCCTAACACTACCCCATTACTCCAGCCAATGGACCAGCAGGTCATTGCGAACTTTAAGAAGAACTACACTAAGGAGTTTTTCTGGCAGTGCTTCAGGATGACTGAGGGCACCAACCTCACCCTCAGTGAATTTTGGAAGGAGCACTTTGATATCGACGGCTGCCTCAAGATGATCACCAGGGCCTGGGACAGCATCAGCCAGAGGAACTTGAACTCTGCATGGCGCCCGCTCTGGCCAGACTGTGTGGCTACTGGTGTTTCTGCGCCTGCACCAGAGTCCACAGTGATGCAGGACATTGTGGCCTTGGGGAGGAACATCGGCCTCGAGGTCGCTGAGGAGGACATCTGTGAACTGGTGGAGGGCCACGACCAGGAGCTGACCACCCAGGAGCTGGTCGAGATGCAGGGCGAGGCTATGGAGGAGGAGGAGGAAGAAGACCTAGAGGGGAAACACATGCCCACCAGGAAACTGAAAGAGATCTTAGGCCAGTGGCAAAATGTGCAGACTCTAGCACAGAGATATGATCCGAACACGGCTAAGACACAGTGGTGTTCAAACCTGTATGATGAAACGGTCATGTCCCATTTCAAAGGGATGCTGAACAGGCGGCAGAGGCAGCTCACCATGGACAGGTTCATCTCGAAGAGGCCGAGACAGGAAAAGGAACCTGCTCCTTCCACCAGTGGTGCCCAGTTGCCTTCTTCCTCCCCCTCGTCCTCCTAGAAGACTGCTGCTGTGATCTGGGGACAGTTCTGTGTGCCTGCATTGAACACTGTTCCTGGTGCTTGACTTCAGCCTCACTTCTTCAGTTTTAAAATGTTTCTGTCATGTTGGTTTCTGTATGTTCATGCAGTTCCTGAAAATGTTCTGTATGTTCTGTATGATTTATGCACTTTATGTTTTGTTTTTAATGTTTTTCTATGTTATTTATGTTCCTGTCTTATTTTTGCTGTTTTTAAAATGTTTTTCTATGTTATTTATAAGTTCCTGTCTCATGTTTGCTGTTTTTTAATGTTTTTCTATGTTATTTATAAGTTCCTGTCTTATTTTTGCTGTTTTTAAAATGTTTTTCTGTTATTTATAAGGTTAAAGTTTAGTGTTTGAAATGTTTGAAATCTTAAAGTGCACTTAATAAACCCTTTGTTAACCAAATTTGACTGTGTTCTGACTATTTTTTAATTTGTTGTTAATTTTTTTCCGCCATTGAGATGCATTGAATAGGTTTCAATGCATTTCAATTGGGGAACCGCGTTTTGAATAGCGATGTTTCCTATGGAGATTTTCGATTAGCGACAGCAATTTGTTCCTATGGGAACGGATTAGCCGGCTTTCAATGCATTTCAATGGGAAACCGCATTTTGAATAGCGATGTTTTTGAATAGCGATGTTTTTTGCGGAACACATTAATATCGCTATTCGAGGCACCACTGTATTTTGTATCAGCAGAGAACAATTTCTTTATTGATGGCTGGTGATAAATATGCCTGCTTACCACTTCAGGATTGCCAAATTCTTTAAGGTGACCCATCAGAAATGGATCAAATTGAGCAATCGGTTCCATGATTTCTTAAAAATTCCCACTATACTTGAATCCCATTATCTCTTCATTACTCCTAAATCCCAGGCCTCTCTCAGCTAAAAAAAATTGTCACAGCCACAGCACAGTGTAATACTTCAGTTCAGTATTTCTTGTTTTCCTCCACTTGTTCATCCAAATCCCTGTCAACATGAGAAAATTCTCTACATAAAAAATTGAGCTTGAACACAGAATTTCTGGCCTTTGCTTTGTTCGTGAGTTTTAATTTCTCTCTCTCTGCTTTTTTCCAGTCATTAAAGCCATCTTTTAAAGTTGTCACATCTGGATATCAAAGTACAATAAAAGCAGAAGCCAACACCCTTCGATAGGCTGTACAGGAGCTACATTCCATTCAGCATTATCATGAGTAGTGTAGAACATAGAATTCTTGAAATAATAACACCTCTTGGCGGAGGGAAGGAAGGAGAGATCTAAGGTTGAGGGAGGAAGGGTCATGGATTGTTAAGGAGGGTGTATCATTTGCACCATGGTCCATGGTAAATCCAGCACTGAAAGAAAACTCTGTGGTGCTCCTTTCTCTTTTTGATGTCCTAAGCACATGCTTATGCTAAATGGCCACAATGACATGGATATTCCAGAAAATAATTTTACCCACTAAAACATATTTCACTTTCTCTCTTATTCTTTGAACCTGAAACACTGAAGCTGCTCCTTTCTAACTACTGTTCCATTTTGTCTGTTTCTTTCTGTCCCAGAAAGCTGTGACTATGTCTCTCCACTTGCTATTGCACTGCAGCTCCCATCATACCTCACTGTTGGTTATGATGACTAAAGCTGATGAGAATTATAATTTAACATCTGGAGTGTCTCAGTTGTCTACCCCGTTTTAATCCAGTTAGGGTAGGCAGATGCTGAAGAGGGAATTTCAGTTCTCACGACTTGTCATTCAAAAGAAATCTCATGAAGTTCTCTAATTCCACAACTATTAAATGTGCAGGGGGACTGTAATTTTTGCCATGCTGATGAATGTGTGACAGTCAGAATGAATATCTTAGGTACAAACCTAACATGTCTATACTCCCCAAAGCTGTTTATATATATGATTTTCTGTGTGTAAGATGTTTCTTCAATACAGCTCATCCTTGTGTCTTGCCCTACGCAGGGGGACTTAGTACAATACCTTCTTTTCATATCTTTCCATACTTGTACTAGTGTTGCCTTTAGAACAGAAATAATCTAGGAGAACTTGTGCTACTCTAAAACCTGTCCTCTCGTTTCTCAAATGTTTGTGATGGAGGCTTGCAATTTGTGGGCTTCCTTTCCATCAAAATTTAGACTTTGGTGGCACTTGTGGAGATGCTATTTGGTTTTACAAAAATAACAAGAGCGCTGCTGGCTTGGACTTAAAGACCTATTCAGTCTAGTACGTTTTTCTCACAGGGTCAACAACTAAATGCCCATAGGAATGTGACGGTCATAATCTGTTCTTCGCTGTCCATGCATTGTGACCTTGAACATTTCCATGGAAAGAATCATTATACAGTGGTGCCTCGCATAACGAGCGCACCGATTAATGATGAATTCGCATAGCAATCCACTTTTTGGGATCGTTAATGCGATCGCATACCGATGCTTTCTATGGCCGAAAATCGCTTTGCGATGATCGGTAAGCGTTTTGCTTACCGATTTTCACATACCAATGTTTTTTAAACAGCTGATCGGCAGTTCCAAAATGGCCGCCAGACACCCAAAATGGCCACGCGCAGCATTTTCACACCCTGCCCTAGCTTACCGAGGGTGCGAAAATGGCGGCCGGATGGGGAAACATCGCAGAACGGTGAGTTTGGGGCCCCATTGGAATGCATTTAACGAAATTTAATGCGTTCCAATGGGTTTTTCCGTTCCGTATAGCGATGTTTCCCCATAGCGACAGTTAATCCGGAACGGATTAACCTCACTATGCGGGGCACCACTGTAGTTTAGAGTGAATCAGCAGATCTCTTGGAAAGATGATGGGATGGAAGAGACTGTGGGAAACTTTTGCCCAAGGTTGCTAGCTGCATTCTGTTTCAGTGACTGCACACACTCCTAGCAGAGAGCGGCGGCTCCTCAGCGGGCGGGGAACCTCTCATTACTTTGAGTCAGAGGACACCCCAGGAGAAGGGGGCAAGTTTCCACAGGAGAGTGGGACTTCCTAGCAAGTGGGGGCTTTGAAACCACCGAATCTCAGATGGCAGTCTGGTTTTTGGAAGAGTTCCCTTCCTACACGCAATCTGTCTCGTGAAGTCGCCATGATGGTGAGTTGGCTGCTCGGAGAGGGGAGGTAGGAGATTTATTATCTGACTGCAGAACAGAGATTAACAATCTGCTGCTAAACCATAGCAAGTAAAAGATCAAATCTGCTCTGTGAAAGCTGATGAGAAGGAAGATCTCAAGCGGCATAACTTTGTTAATGTCTGTAACATTGGAGTTTTCTCTTTTTTTGAGTTATGTGAAGTCCTTTTTTCTCTAAGCAGTTAGCTAGAGAATCGTAGATGTCACAGCTCGGAAACTAAACCAATTCTGCTCTTTGTCTCTCGTAACCCTTCCCCCCAGAGAAACTTGCTTTTCATAACTCTATAAAATCAGGGATTAAGAAATCTAAATAACCCTGCATAATTTAACCTATGTATCTGGCTACAAGGTGGATTATAAATCAAATAACATCCTTGGGGTCCCCCCTCGTAAGACTTTAAGTGCAGACTAGCTAATAAATCATGTGGGAAATCTGAGTAATTAACGTACTGACTGCCACAGCCATGGAAGGAGGGGGAGAATCATCATCGCAATCCTCAGTGGATTATATCAAGGGACTTCTTCAACAATGTCAATTTAACATAATCAGTCATTTCGAGGCGGAACTAGAGGAGATCAGAACAGACTTGAAGATGACTTTTTCTGCTCTGCATGAAAAGATTGAAAGCAAGGACAAACAACTTAACCAGATATTTAATGAACAGCCTTTAATGTCAGAGAGAGAGAGGGCCTCAAAGCAACACAGACAAATAATGGAATTTATTCAACAGCTACCATCGTCAAAGAGAGAGAAAAAGAAGACTCCTTTTCTTCCAAAGATGCCTAAAAAAGATGAAAGGGGGCGGGGAAGGGAGGAAATATCTCAAGACTGTTCCAAAAAGAAAGAATGTAAAGGGGGAGAAATGGGCAAAGCTGAGGGCAGAAATTTACGATCAGAGATCACACACTATGTTGCTCCAAAATCAAACCACTGACCACATGGGGATGAAATTAGTCAACCGTATAGAAAATGTCTTAAAGAAATATTATAGATGACATTTTAAAACTAGGAAAAAATTGAATGAATAAAGGAGGCAAGAGGCCAATTTTGGTTTGATAACACTGAAGATGAATATACAAAGTAATATGACTAATACACTATAAGCAAATTCAGCCAAAGATGGAATTTAACGTTAGACAAGCACATGCAACCCATGAATTTTAGAAATGATGATGACTAATAATAGTGGATACTTTGTTGGTGAGGCACGTATATTGAGACATTAAATATGTGTGATTATAATAGTGGCAATGTTGACAAGATTAGAGAGGCCAATCCTGGTTTGATGATACTGGAGTTGATAAATAAAAATCAGAAAGGAGGAAGTTACTTGCTGAATAAATAATAGAAATCAATTGGTTTCAGATATATATAATTGACATATAAAGCAACATGACTAATATACTATAAGCAAATTTGACCAGACATGAAAAGTAAGGTTAGACAAGCGTATGTGACTTATGAACTTCAGAAATGATGATGAACAACAATATTGGATGTTTTGTTTCTGAGGCATGTATATGGAAATATCAAATATGTGTGAACTACAAGAGTGATTATTTTGACAAGATTAGACATATAGTTTTTTGTTTATAAGAATGGAGATCATCAAGGAATGAAATGGGCCTGTGTGGATATTATGGTGGATAAGTAATTTTAAAGAGGAAATGAGGTGTTTATGATGAAATTTAGATGGATGGAAATGCAGATGAGATAATTTACAAAATTTATTATAAACTTAGGATGTTAGATATTAAATTAGATACACAAAATAGGGATGTGGAATATAACATGTGTAGATGCACAAGGATATATTATTTCTGTAGTCAGAATTTGCATAATAGATAAGCTGGCATGGGAAATACCTCCCTGTCTGTATGTTCCATTAGTCTTGTATGTTTTAATAGTTTTATTTGTTATTGCTTTGTAGGTATTTGTGTTTTTTTTTTGTCGGTATGTATGTTTTAAAAAATAATAAAATGTTTAAAAAATTCAAATTAATGCAGCCTCGCAACATACCATGGTTGATCACATTCTTTCTTTTGGTCTCTTGCAGCTGGTCATCTTGAACACTCCCCAATTGCCTACTGGGTTGTTGTGCAGCCCGAAATCTGATAAGGCCATTGCTGGAACAGAATGGCTTTATTTATTTAACACTCCTCCCTGAAATGTTTATTCCATTCTAAACGCAATTACAGACCTTGTATTGAAAGAACACCATTGTGCCAAACAACTCACAGGTTGGGATCTTCTGTGTTGTTACTTACCTATTTCTAAAGCTGACCATGATCATTTAATGGCTACATCATTAACTTATCAATTTGCTTTTTTAGACTATATTGGTGACATACATTTTAATCCTCCTAAAGACCCTCACTTAACATTCATTCAGCAAGTACTCTTTCACTTTTCCTCTCTTTTCTCTGCTACTCCCCTCCCTGATGTTCTAACTGTTTTTACCAATGGTATGCCTACCAGAGGCGTGGTTGCCTTTCAGCAACCTCCTGGATCCTGGAAAACCTTCTTCACTTGTACTCAAATCTCCAGCCAACATGCAGAATTTGCAGCTGTTGTTCTTACCTTTCAAATGTTTCAAGATCAGCCTTTAAATCTCATTGTGGACAATCAATATGTATTTAACCTTCTCACTCATCTGTCACATGCCTATCTTTCTCCTGATCTTGCTTCTCCTTACTTTTCCTGTTTTTGACTTTAAAAAACCTTCTTGCTGCCAGATCACAACCTTTTTGCAGCTCACATCCGATCTCATACTGGATTTCAAGATGCTATCTCGGAGCGAAATCCTCTTGCAGACTCCGCTGTTTGTTCCTTGTGTCCCCTCTTTTCCAATCCTATTGACAGCCATTCCTTTTTCACCAGAGTGTGAAACAACTCCATAAGCAATTTTCTATTCTGCTTTCTCAAGCTTGAGACATTGTCTCCTCCTGCTCTTCCTGTTCTATGTCTCCTTTTTCCTTTCCTTTTGATGCTATTGACCCATGAGGAACAGATGCCAATCAGCTTTGGCAAATGGATGTCACTCATGTTCCTACCCTTGCTCCTCTTTCTTATGTTCATCTAAATTTTGATACTTACTCGGGATACATCTGGGCTACCCCTCTTCTGGTGAGATCACTCTCTATGTCATACAAAGGACGTACATTTGCAGGTATGGGCCGGCCTCAAACCTTAAAAACAGGCAATGGCCCTGCCTATACCTCTCACGCCTTTACCACTTTTTGTAATGAATGGGACATTCGACTTTTCCCATGGTATTACTTATAACTGCACAGGACAGGCTATTGTGGAAAAAGCACATTGCTCTTTTAAATTTCTCCTTGCAAAGCAAGCAAGCAAACAAAAAACAGAGGGATCTAGCCCCGAGATGTTCCAGATGTAGTATCAATAGCATTGTTCACATTCAACCATTTAACTGTATCTGCAGGTCAGCATAAGTTGTCACCAGTAGAGAAACACTTTTGTAAAGAAATCGCTAT